AACCTCGAGGACAACATTTTTAAAGATATATGCGATTTCACTGTCATTCCGACTCTGCCTCTCATTCTATCTCATCAATGCTCTCTCCTTACCCGACAAAATGTTTGAATTCACGATATTTGCGACCCGTCCTTCATAATGATTACTGAAACATGGCGCACTCCTCAGATTTGCTACAGGGATGCTCATGTTGATAAGTACAACCTTTCAGGGATGACAGAAACCACGACGGAGGGGGGATGTGCTACGTATATTAGGTCTGATATCAAGGCCACACAGTGCTTCCACCCAGAGCTCATCACGGATAACGACTCAATTGGGGCTATTCTAAGGCTGTCCCGCTCCAATTACTATCTTATAGGTCGCATCTGTCATCCCCCATCCTCAACTGTTGAAGATGATATGAAGCTTGCAAGCTCGTTCGCTCACGCCACTTCACTACTTCACACGGCTAAAATTAAATGTGGGGATTTTAATATGCCTAATGTAGTGTGGCAAACACTTCGCTCACAAAAAGAGAATGTAGATATCTGACCACTAGCAAGGACAAATGATCTGCGAACATTAATGGTCCCACATATTACAACTGCCTCGTGAATTAACTATTACCTTCCTCCGCGATGCATCCTGGATGACAGCTGTGGAATATGCCTTCACGCCGATAAAAAAGTATTAACTTATAGCACTTCACGATTGTAATTTATAATATAACTGATCGCGTCTGTAAAAATGGCTTGCATTTCTTGTAAACACCCGTTTGTAAGAAAACGTAAACTATTATTATAAGTCTGCATTAAGTACAGTTCACTTCTGGCGTTTCTTACGATGAAAATGCCGACAAAATTATACAAACACACCACTTGTTTTAAATCAATACCCAACTTGGATATAAATCAAGAATAAGATCCAATGCTGAACACACTAAAGTTATATGAGGGAAATGACTGCAAGCCCTATTTTTTACCCGAGTATTTGTAATCCATCCAAAATATACTTGGGATATTTTGGTACCACGAAGACAATATTTCTGTACTTCTTGACATGCTCCGCTGAATGACTAAACTAAAGATAAAAATTACAGTAACCGTGTTACAACTCCCTTCTTCGACTTCAGAAAAGCCTTTGATAAAGTCCCACATAAGAGACTAAATCTTTAGCTAAAGAGTTCCAAGGCCCCTTGTTATTCTGTCTCAGTTCCCAAGTTGTGGAATTCTCGAATAATTACTTTTCACCTAGACCCATACGAAGTGGAGTGATTCAGGGTAGTGTACTAGGGCCATTGCTTTTCGTAATTCACGTTAACAACATCTGCAGTGTAATCGAACATGGTATTCCATGCCTCTTTGTTGATGACCTAAAGATCGTATACAGCTTACTCTATTCTACTCTGAACGAGGGATTCACACATATTCAAGACGATCTGGATGGGTCACACAACTGGAGCAATGACTGGCAACTACCATTCAATTCCAATAAATGTGGTATCCTATACTCCAATAACTTCCAACCGAATTTCAGGTCACATATAGGTGACTCTTTCCTCCAGACATTCATCCGTGAGAGACATGCGCATTACCTACTCACAAAACTCAACATTCAGTCAGTATGCGAAATCAGTCGTTTCTAAATGCCGAAGACTCACAGGCTCGTTACGCCGAAAAATGTACACAACTGAGGCTGAAGTCCTCTTATACAAAGTAATGGTTCTTCCACTACTTGGATACTGCACAGTCATCTTCGGTTTTACGCATTGGTGTAATGCGGTTCGTACTGAAGATATCCAGCGAAGCTATACACGACGCCTATTACACAAACATGAAGGGCTGGCTTACGCTGATATGTGAAAAAATATGGGCTTCAGTCACTTCGGCTAAGACACCTGAAACCCAACTTAGCTTTCCCCATTCGCCTTTTACACGGCTTTATCAGAAGCAATAATCCAACAGCTTTCAACAGTAGAACCATATATGCTTTTAGGAATCATGATAGCACTCTATCCATAACCCGGTACCGGACAAAATTGCGTTCACGTTTCCTCAAAATATAGTACAGTGCACTATGGAACTTTCACTCACTGTACGTCGTTGCCAATCTCCTACTGAATTCCAACGCCTCCTTAATGAGTTCCTGTCAACAAAAGTGCTTCGGTACATGGGGTACGGTTGTGCGGCAAATACACAAAAAGGTATGAAATAAAAACAACCGGCTTGTGGATAATTGTATTTAAACCAAAAGTGGATATTATAATAGTAAGACTTATATGGGCGGCATTATACATTGCAAATGAACTTTGTCAGCCTAGGGATTATAATCTCCCATTGTATTTCCTTTATGAATGCATATATTAATGATACATTGCACTTACCTATTTCATTACACTTTACTGATTCTCCTTAGCACTTTTACTTTTCTAAAACAGCTTACTCTGCCTTGTAAACGTTGTACTTACCTCAATATTAGTTGGTTATCGTATGCCTACAAAAACGGGTTGAAAGCGAAACGAAGTCGATTTTCGCGCGCAGCCTGGAGGACTACTGTTCAATTCAATAATGATACGACCTGGGTCAGACAATGAGTGTATTTATATATATATATCAAATATTTAGCAGTTGAAACATTATTAACTTGTAGACAATCTATGATTTGAGATTATATCATACTTCATCGTGCCTGTAAAAATGGCATACATTTTCATGTATATTTATATGTTTGTATAGAAATGTACTTTATTATTTTAATACGGTTAAATGTAGTGTCAATTTGAGGAGTTTGGGCATTGAGTGGCTTCGGAGTTGCAATGTCTATTGGCATTTTCTGGAAGTTTATGGTGTTTATTTAAGAGGCTCTTCACCAACAAAGAGAAATAGCATTTGCTTAACTGGTGTTCTCCGACTAGATATTTTTGTATTCGGCGTAGTATAATAAGTGGCCGAAAGTTCTATGTTATGTTTATAATGGTGGGATATCGTTATTTCAGTAATCACAAGGATGTTGTTATCTGCCACAGTTTTTCCCCGCTCTACTCATGGATTTTACATCAGGTAAGTGAGATATGGTAATAAAAGATTCGAAATGCATTGAAAAAATGCATGACAAAAAAGACTACATGCGGGGGGGGATATTGTGGAATAAAAACTAATGGTACTTGTAGTTGGTCTCACCGCTATAGTACTTGACTACCGATAAACCAACTAGACAGTGAGTCAAGGAGAAAGATCAGGGTTTTGTCTAGACATGTAAACTGCACATACTGTGTCGGAAAGTTCCACTGGTATATATTGGTCATTAAATGTAAATCGGCAACAGTATAGAGATTGTTGTGGCTGGTTGGCTTCAGGCATAGTATCAATTCCCTGATTTCTTTTGCGGGGATGCATATTCTTTTTTCTGATGATTTAGTGTAATTTGCATTTTCATGTAATTTTATGTTTCTATGAAAATATACATTATTATTATTAGTGGGTGAGGAGAGAATGCACCCCAAAACAGGATTCTAATGGATCAAAATTCTGTACAAAAAATGAACTTCAGACAGACCATTTGATCGTGGCTTTCAGACTAAAGTGATATCCTCGCAAGTAGTCAGTTCTAGAGTCAAAATGTTGGAATGAGGTCGTCCCTTAACCACTACAGTGAAAATGGGGGGCAGTGATAGTCCTTCCTTGAGTAGATCGATAGATAAATTTAGTCATCAATCTTTGAGGCCTTCGTATGAGTCTGCTTCTCATATTAAACATACGCTCGGTGCCTGGATTCTACATTTCAAATAGGACTGCCTGTAACTGGGATATACAATGAGAAATATAATAACTTCAGAAATTAAAAGAAACTTATAAAGAGATAAAAGTGAGCCGCTTGCACATGAATTTCACGCGTCGTCTTGAGCGTAAGGTTTGGAGCTCGTAAGAAATTTGACACATAGTTTACTATGCTAAAAAGGGCCTGAAAACTCTGGTTACTAAGGGTGCTTGTGTTCATTCTACAAGTTGCATGCACGATGCTTGATTTCTGTGACAGTCTAAAGTGAACACAAGCGGTAGTCTTTTATTTATTTTTATTTTTGATTACAGCTTGATACCACATCGTATTTTCAGTACAAGTATCGAATTTTCAGCATGGATTTCGGTAGCCCAAATTTTGCAGGCCAACCACAGATATCGGATGTGCGTCGGCGGAGGATCGAACCCGGAACCATGTTCATGGTTGGCGAGAGTCCTAACCATTGTGCCACCAACATTCATAACTTACGTCTTATGTGGTTTTCTGCATAACGGCATATCTTCGTTTAAGTGACAAGGTAGATGTGTCTGTAAGACTGAACTGAAAGCATGAGAACAGGAGACACGTACTCAAATTCAGTACTAAATGTGTGCATTCACTGCACCCAAATGTAATACCAAATGGATGTCAAGTTAAATAGTACTGGATACATTGATGGTCAGTCACAGTTCCTGTTGTTAATTGTGAATAATTTCTTTGTATTTTTGGAGGACTACATTCGATATTACACAACCTGTCTCCATAGATTTGGCTGAGGGTGCATACCATACCAATACTGTCGAATGGTAACCATTAATATAAATTCGCTGCAACAATAACTGGCCATGGAATTAAGTAGGGAAGAGTGGAGAAACCACACAGCCACGTCATAAAAATCATAGTACAGTCATATTGCTACATTTCTTTAGAAATCTCGGGCTTGGACATTGAATATTGTTTAAAATTCTCAGGCCAATCATTTAGCTCCAAGATTGGTTTTTCCGTATTCTTTTATTCATGTGGATTAATGTCTGGTTTTCACGTAAAATACATCCATCCTTTGTTTTCGTTAAGCTGCGATTGGTAATAGGTTGTTTTTTAATTTTGGATTATTATCTGAAACCGCGAAAACTCGGAATATTTCCAGTTACATCAGCTCATCTCTCATTTTTAAACCAAGTGGATTACTCTTGGAAATGTGTGATTTAGAATGTTGCTGTTTAGCTGATGACTGGTGGTAAATGGAGACAGTTTTTTCGGTAAGTGTTACTTGGTTTTGTGATTCCTGAACTATACAAACAGTTGAAACTTTGGTATTTTTGCTGTTCTCGTTCATGTTAGTTTACTGGATGTGGTGGATTTCAGTGTTGCGGAGATATTGCAATGAAAAGACCTGTGTATTGCTCATTTAGTTTGTATTTAGCGGTCGTAACCCGTATGTATTTTTTCAGTAGACTCTGGGAACATCTAATCTTATCAATAAACTTCCTAATCTACAATGTATGTGGGAGACTTAAAATCAGTGTTTTAAAAGTTTAGACATATACAGACTGGAAAAGATTCTTTCCCCATATTATTTTAAACTTATGGGGAGCAAAAAATTTCACGTTCAACTACAATTCCGTAAGCCTCGTATGTTCCTAGTGTAGACAGACATGCAGTGAAATGCATCTGTACCGGTTTACTTTTCATGACAAAGGGGACACAGAAAGAGATATGTCAGTATCGAACTAGGCCTCAGTAAAATAAGATGATGATTCAAGGAATTCTGTAGTCAGGTATCAGGCGGATAAGTGACTATTATTATGGCGAGTAATTCATGATACTTCTCCCTTTCGTATTGACAAAGTCTGTTTCCACAAATTGTTTCTTAAATCTTTACTATGTTTTGATTGTAGTCAACCCTAACTCTGCAGAAGTAATTGCAGTCTACCCAGGTAGATGTGTTCGATTATGTTCAAACACTCGTTCTTCATTCGAATACACAAAATAATAATCTTTCTCCGTTTATTGGATGTACACATCGTAATTACTAGTATTCGAATTTCAACTTTTATATTCAGGGTGTGGTCTGGATGTCTTCTGAAACAGGTCATTTTACCTTTCCATTCACTCTAGGGTCTGGTCATTGGAAGCATTTTTTTTTATAATCATAGCCAAATGATTAAATAGTGGGCCCCTTCCTTATATTACTTTTGACTTTGTGTCTGGGTGGCTGTTATCTTACCTTACTATAATCATAGGAATAAAAGCTAGATTCCACGGGGCACGGTTGAACCAGTAACTAGTTAGAATAGCAGTACCTTGTAAATAAATATACTTGTGTGACATACATAATTAATTAGGATGTTCGAAATATATTGATTTAGTGTTCTTCAATTTCTCACTTTTTCGTCGTGAATACGTACTTTGTGTAATGCTTAGATCCTGTGTTGTCAGTTTTAACTGAGTACCAGTAGTTGTCTACGATGATCCGTTCAGGAATGACAATGTGAATAAGTGGTTGTACACTTTCTGCAACTAAAAAAGGATAGAACTAAGATTGTTTGTGAATAGGATTTATAATAACTTAATTTTTTGAGTATTCTGTCTGGCTGTTTTCTTATCATATTTATTGCTGTTATCTACGTACTTCATGCGTCAGTTTAGCGTTTAACATCAATAATCAAACCACATGTGAGTACCGTAATATGATTATTCTCAGTAAATTATGCTCGAAACGTCATCAGTAATTAGTACTGTATCATTATATTTTTTATAAAATAAATTTATTCCGGTGTATTTATGCTCTACCATAGTGTTCAAGTTCTATTCTTATATCAACCAATCAGGATCACAATCATTGGGGAATGAGTTGACTAGACTGCTGTCAAACGTCCACTTGGCATTTCAGATGTTATTACAATAATTCGGTGTATCATATATATAGTTAAAGACTCAATGACAGCAGACTTACTGGTTGCTTGAATATGCTTCCTAGTACTCACCGGCACAGTTGTCCCTATCTCTGTCAGATCCTCTGGACCTTATCGACGCTTTATATGTTTGTGCTTAGGGCAGACTTTTGTGTTCATTATAAATCAGAGGTAGTTGATGGGCGTTAGAAAGTTACGAAGAGTTTGCAGACTACATACTAAGGATATATTCTCCCGGGACGCAAGATAATTGACTTGTAACATTCCTGGCACTCAACATGTTCAGCTAATTCATATCTAAAATTTTTGGCGACCTTTATTTTGTTTTACTACTGGTATGTAGTCTGCTTGCATCGACACAAGTCTGTGGTTTTAGTTACCAGCGTGTAATGTAGACATAGCAGCCACTGTGTACTTTAAGATTCCAGACATGTTTTAGTCTTTATTCACATTCACTATCTGTTGAGTAATAAGTTGTGATTTGGCTCATTAGGTGTAGCACTTTCATCCAATGCGCTACTGATTCGAATAACGCTTTATTTGTTTCAACCTGGTCTGACTAGACAGCATCAGCAGGAGAATTATAGTTTGGTGCACAAAACATTTGTCACAGGTATGAGCTTTGATTATCAAAGTGGAGCCATCGGAGGACAGGTTGTTGGCCATGCTAGCTAGTTGAACACTGATCGTGATCGTTATCAAGCTAAAGCTTGTAGTCATCCCACCTGTCACAAACTAGTCCATGTTGGCCCCCTAAACGTACATTACAGATTCAAGCACTTAACATCTATTGTGCATTTGGTTATGCTAGGTTCTTAGGTATTTGGATTTTGGGCAACTAGAATAGAATCAAAATCATGCTTCAACTCTGTCGTGTTCGAGGTGTTAATCTTTGCACACATTTTATTAGCTTACTTCGTAAACTTTCCTAGGAAGGGACAAGTGTAATGCTCAGCATTTCTAAGTCAGTCAGCTTAGGGATGCTCTGACGTACATTGTCTCTTCACACTTTTTAATCGAAATTTTACCTTATGTGCCTATTTGTCTGCTCTATTGTCCACATAGTTATATTCAGTTAACCTTTTTTTAGGCTGCTGTATGCGACAAATTGAATTGTCAACTATTGGTTTTGTAGGAATTTAGTTTGATTGGATGGAGAATTTCATCATGAGCTGACATCAGTTAGAACCACTGGAAAACCTGGGATTGTCGCATTCCTCAAGCATGTTCTTTATCGAAGTGTTTACACTACCAACGACTTAAAATATAAATCCAACTTTGTCATTTAATGGGTCCTTAGGGTAAAATGTTATTAACAGTGCAGCGTGTAACCTTTCAGTTAGTCTTGTCAAGTCCTATTACTTACTTCAACCCTAGTGTACTCAAAATCTACACTGAAAGATTGGTCTTAGTAATATGTACAGTAAATTGGATAGCCACATCTGTGTTCACATCAGTGTTAGGATGAAAGACATTGCACAACTAAATACAGTGATCAAGAAATAATTTCATCCCTAAGTTAATCGAAGCATAACTATAAGATGCAGTAGTATTGTCATTATTCTATTAACCTGTGTACGGTAGCACTTCATAAACTTGATATTTAAGCGAATTTGTTGTGTGTTTTAAGGTTGATGATTTTGTTAGTCTTTTATTCCAGCGAATCATCTGTTTGATAATTTAGAGTGTGTTATTGATTCATGGTTTGATAAAAAAGTGACATCTACTGGGCCTTTTTAATACTTACTTATTCCAATAGGAAAAAAGTACAGAACGCTAGGCTGTGATATTTCTGTGTCAGGAATATTTAGCAATGAAAGTCGCTAATGAGTTCCTAGGAGTGCTTTTATGGTGTTCGAACTTTGTAAGCAAGGATTCAAGACGAATTCTTAGGAATCGATCCCTAAAGACAAATATTTGTTTCGACCTGTGTTTCTTGGATGTATAACATTTTGTGACGAAATTCTTGTTAGCCGTTTTTTTACAGAGTTTGTAGTTGCGTTAATGAAATGCGATGCACGTATTCATCTATTCAAAAGTGAATCTGTGATCACCCACCGACTTCGAAACCTGGTAGATGCGTACTGCCGATGAGTCCCAAGGAGGGGCGAAACAGCTGTCTAGTATTGCAATGTTGGTTCTTTTCTTTAGTCTGCTTTCCACCAATTATGTAACGTTTAAGTGTTTCTTCAACTTTCCCTTACAACTACTCTTAATTTTGTTCGGGAATAGTGTAGACCTCCTGCTATCATGTATAAAACTTGGCAGTAAAATAGATCAGTCGTGGAATATCTCGTAGTTCCAGTGTGAAAGTATGCAAAACAAAACCCTCACGGCTTCTGGAAGGCATTATTCCATCTTTTCCCATGGTTTTTTTGTATGCTGAAATTATTAACTTTTCATGCAGGGGTTCAATTTATAGGTTTTTGTACTGATGAAACACCTTGAAATGCTAGTGCGTAACATCACAGCACTCCGCTGTGGGTTTAAATAAGTTATTCGACTTGTCGGCAATGTTGAAGATTAGAAGGAAGTGTGGATTTATTAGGCATTTTTTGACAGAATAAATAGTTTGAAACAGTAAAGCTTTTGCACAGTTAAACACTATCTAAGTTGTCTCAGTTGGGTTTGGTTTAAGTGTCAAGTATTACTGGCTACTATGATTCGTTTACAGCTACTTATGTCAATAAGAAAACACGTATTATAGTATATATGTATATATGATGTTTGTTATACTCATTCAACACTTGTTTGGTTTGAAATAACTTCCACTAATAGGCATTCGCTATCTTTAGAGTTGTCAAATGACTATAGTCATTTTGACTGCAGATCTCAGAACTATGAAGCACTCAATTATTTCGTCTGATACTATTTCTAACCCCCATGTATCTTCATAAAGTATTGGGGGGGATGACCGTAATAGTGTATTTTATCAGTCTCGGTAGTAAAAGTTACTTTTTAAGTGCACTGAAGTCCGGTGAAATTATCTACCAATATACCAAGTCTTTTAAATGTATTTATCAGACCTACGGAGATCTGCATTATTATTTTGAATATCGATTAGCATTAAATAACTCATCATATTTTATGTGTCAAACTCCTAACAAAATGTCATAAATTTGCATACACGTAATTATTCACGCTTTGATGGATCATTAAATGTTAGATTTATATAAAATTCACTGTCTCACATCATTATCTTTGACAGGACAATGTTTTCAATACAAATTTACTTTGCCACTGCCCTTATATAATCTCCACTGGCAAGTTCTCAGGTGCAACAAAACTAGTTGTGAATATTTGTTTGATTGTATTGGAATTATAAATAGTCGACTTTTGAGTTT